TTTGCCGACCTGTTGACATTCAGTTTGTGGCAAGTGACATCGGGGTCAATGCCAGGCATTTCGTAAGGTGTCCAAGCAAACACCTCAATATTGGCTCTGAAAAAAGCTTCCAACTCTTTTTCCTCTTATTCGGCTAGGCCCGAGCCGAGAAGAAAGAAGCGTTCTTCATCCCCATCCTGGACGAGGATTTTCTTCAGTACCTCTTCGCTCTTCTCGGCTGGCTCCTTGCCGACGTCTTCTAAGACTTCCACGTCCTCATCTTCAATTTCTGCCTTTTCTGGCTCTCGTATGCTGCAGGTTGATTTCATTACTACCATGGAGCAATTTTTCACCTGCAGCTGATCGCCTTTGACTTCCTCTATCCCATGCTCTGTTGAGAATCGCAATAATTGATGCAACATTGAGGGAACTGCCCTCATTGCATGAAACCATGGTCTTCCCAAGATGATGTTGTAAGGGGAAGGTGTGTCGATGATGGTGAATTCTATCTTGATCTTCCTGGTGCCTGCCTGCACCTCCAAGCTTACTGTTCCCAGTGGCCATGTCGGAGTTCCATTGAACCCAACCATTGGGCTACTGGATTGTTTCAATCATCTGGGTGAAGGCCAAGCTCTTTGTAACATCGGACGTACATGATGTCACAAGAGCTGCCTGGGTCAATCAAGATGCGTTTCACTTGGCACTCCCCAACCTGGAGGGATACTACCAAGGCATCGTTGTGCGGGTGCTGGACCATTTCTAGGTCTACTTCAGTAAAGGTTATCATTGGTCTCTGGCACTCTTCTGCCTGATGTCTTTTCTCTCTGACTTGGTAGACATGTTATAGGTGTCTCATTTTCTGGGTCTCCCCCATAATTTCGTTCTCGTTGACCTTCGAGTGAATCACATTGACTACCCGAGGTCCTCCTGCCTGAGGTTATGGTGCTGGGGGAGGCGGAGCCGCTGCCGCCTGAGGCAATCTTGCCTGTTCTTCCCTTGTCCTGGCCTCATCGACAAGGTCTCTCAGATGTCCTCGTCTCACCAGGTCTTCCAAATATGTTTTCAGGGCTCTACAACCCTGAGTTGTGTGCCCATCTTCATTGTGGTAGGCACAATGCCTGCCAATGTTTCTTCCCATGAACTCTCCTAGAGTCCTCTCTGGCGTTCTGAAATAGGGCTGTTCTGAATTTGATCCAGGACTTTGGGAATTGGGATTCGGAACACAGTTGTTACTGCTTGTGTGGCCCTTAGTTCTACCTCTTGCCTGTTCGTTCCATTGTTACCTCGGCCTCGCTTCGGCCAGCCGTTTCCTTTCTCTTGTTTTATCTCCCTAGTTCCCGACGTGTCTTCTTCGGCTCTGGTGTACTTCTCGATTCTCGCCATGAGCTCCTCCATACTTTTTGGCAATGTCTTTGCCAAAGACTTTCGTAGCGGACAGTTGTCTTTCAAGCCGTTCTTGAAAGATACGACTGCCACCTCTTGATTACATTCGGGTATCCGATTGTACACTTCATAGTATCTTTTTGCATAGGCCCTAAGGCCTTCATCCTTGCTGATCTTCAGAGCCATCAATGCGTCCACCCTTAATGGTTACAGCTTGTTTGTCACGAACTTGGCCACAAACATCTCGACCAGGCCTTCCCAAGTCTTCACGCTTCTCTTCGGTAATTTGTGGAACCAATCTGATGCAATCTCCCCAAAAGATGAAGGGAACACTTTGCAGAGCAACGGCTCGTTTCCACTATATAATGCCATTGAGTTCAAGTATAGTCCAACATGGAAGTTGGGGTCTGACTTACCATCGTGTATTTGAAACCTCAGCATACTGAATCTCTTCGGTGCCTCGAACCTGTCCAATTCCACCGAGAATGGTGTCCTCGGCTTATCTGGGGAGGTTACCTCAGCCTCGGCATTTTGTTGCTTCCTCTTGAGGTAATCTCTTAAGTCCTCCTTTGTCCGCCCAGGAGCTCGGCTATCTCCTGCTTTCAATCTTTTTGGTGCGCTACTTGCAGCTTCATGGTGAGTCCTTTTCGACCCTTCTCCATGGGTCGTATCGAAGCACAGTGCCTGTCCTTGGACATTCCGATGTCTTTTGGGGTCTGCCTCCTTTGTGCGATGTGTCCTGCGTGATTCTTCTCTTCTTGATTCTCTCCGTCCGACTTCCCTGGAAGGTCGGTGAGAGTATCTTTCGCTCCCGTTGTGCTGAGGGGCTACGGGGATTGTTGTATGCCCTCCCTTCTGGGCATTGGTTGCTGGAATCGGCGTGTCCTACAGCGAGAACGACGGCTGCATGAGGTTGTTTTGCATCATGAAATTGACGACCGACTGCAGGTCTGCCAATTTGTTTTCCATCTCTCTTACTTCTTCGTCCCTTCGTAGGCATCTGTCCTTCCAAATCTGGAGATCGTCCTCGTTGTAGTATCTGCTTTGATCAGGTTTCTTTGGTGTGTCGCCAGCCTGGCCGACGTCTTTCACTCCATGATTCTGGTCATGATTTTCTGCGTTGTACTCGTCTTTTGTGATATCAACGTCAATCGGTCTCTCGCTCCCAGCAGGAGCGTCGTCCCCAATTTTTTCCTTCTGCGCGTTACTGGCCATCTATTCTACTTTTCTTTTCCACAAACGACGCCAAATTGTGTGAGTGATTTTCTGACCACACTGCCCGCTTAGTAACCAGCTGGAGAGCACCGGCAGAATAGATGGCACCTGGTTGACCTACAACAGAAAGAGAAGATTCCGGCGTTGGTTCGTCCACCCGGGAGCACTCCGACGATCAAGTTAGTATATCTCTCAAAGATAAATCAAGTGCTAAACTCACAAACTTGAGTATCAAAAGCATCAAATTGCGTACCTTAGACCCATGGGGGTGCCTCTCTTTTATAGTTACCTCATTCCTTGTCCCACTAGAAGCCTGACCTTTATGGACTCCTGTTTGGCATATACTTTGGACTTTTTAAGAGATAAAGATAAACTCCCTATAAGCTTTATCCTTATCTTGGCTAAGTCTCCTCTTTATTCTAGGACCCTTGTCTCTTATCTGCTTTTCTCGGACTCCGATATCTTCAGAGGTAACCTCGGCCTCGCCGAGATAACCTCGGTATCATGACCTAGACACGTGGCACCTCAGCGTAACCTTGCCACGTGCTGGTATTCAAAAATATATCCCCACAGTTATGATCAATTAAGTTAGGTGCTAATCAAGATTTAATAGGACTAAGTGAGATTAGAATAAAATTAGGAATGATTAAATTAAGCCTTAATTGGGATTAATTAAATTAAAGTGAGACTAGTTAAACCAATTCTGATCAATGATTAATCCCAATTCACTACAGGAAAAAGGGAATATGGTGGCGTTTTTTTAACGACGTTTTTTTAAACGTCACTGTTATTAGTATTTAACGGCGTTTTATAAACGCCGCATATTCTATTAGACAAGACGGCACCGTTTTATAATGGGAAAACGCCTCCAAATGCGGTGCCACACGCGCCTCCTTTTGTGAAACCTTATTTTGAATCAGAACCCTCTCTAACCATTTCGATCGAAGATTCAGAACTCTCTCTCTCTCTCAACTCTTATACGCACACATCTCTCTCTCCCTCTCAACCCTCTCTAAACTCCATCGAAGATTCAGATCGAAGCTCCATCGAAGATTCAGATCGAAGCTCCATCGAAGCGATTTTGAAGCTCCATTGAAGATTTAGATCGAAGCTCCATCGAAGCGATTTTGAAGCTCCATTAAAGATTCATACCTAAGCTCCATCGAAGATTCAGATCGAAGCTTACACTTGGCTTAAAGGAAATGCTTTGCTGAGAATGAGTGAAAATTCTCTGTTATAAAATGTCTGGGTTTGCAATATTAGACTTTTCATTGTTTTATTTTATCTAATATCTAATATGTTATTTGTTAATAGAAAGTAAATGTATCTAGCAATCAATTATACACTTCACGCATATTTATCTGTTCACATGTATTGTATGTATCATTTCCCTTAAACATGATGAATGAACCTTATAGCCAAATAAATGAGTTTTTGGTTTGTGCTCCAAGGGTAGTAAAATAGTAAGAAAAAATTATGGCTACATCTCAAGGTCACGGGTTGTGGAAAGCAAGTTTTGCATTTTAAGGTCATATTCAACAAAAAAAATATGAAATAATCTTTGCTGAAAAAATATGAAATAATCTTTGCTGAAAAAATATGAAATAATCTTTGCTGAAAAAATATGAAATAATCTTTGCTGAAAAAATATGAAATAATCTTTGCTGAAAAAATATGAAATAATCTTTGCTGAAAAAATATGAAATAATCTTTGCTGAAAAAATATGAAATAATCTTTGCTGAAAAAATATGAAATAATCTTTGCTGAAAAAATATGAAATAATCTTTGCTGAAAAAATATGAAATAATCTTTGCTGAAAAAATATGAAATAATCTTTGCTGAAAAAATATGAAATAATCTTTGCTGAAAAAATATGAAATAATCTTTGCTGAAAAAATATGAAATAATCTTTGCTGAAAAAATATGAAATAATCTTTGCTGAAAAAATATGAAATAATCTTTGCTGAAAAAATATGAAATAATCTTTGCTGAAAAAATATGAAATAATCTTTGCTGAAAAAATATGAAATAATCTTTGCTGAAAAAATATGAAATAATCTTTGCTGAAAAAATATGAAATAATCTTTGCTGAAAAAATATGAAATAATCTTTGCTGAAAAAATATGAAATAATCTTTGCTGAAAAAATATGAAATAATCTTTGCTGAAAAAATATGAAATAATCTTTGCTGAAAAAATATGAAATAATCTTTGCTGAAAAAATATGAAATAATCTTTGCTGAAAAAATATGAAATAATCTTTGCTGAAAAAATATGAAATAATCTTTGCTGAAAAAATATGAAATAATCTTTGCTGAAAAAATATGAAATAATCTTTGCTGAAAAAATATGAAATAATCTTTGCTGAAAAAATATGAAATAATCTTTGCTGAAAAAATATGAAATAATCTTTGCTGAAAAAATATGAAATAATCTTTGCTGAAAAAATATGAAATAATCTTTGCTGAAAAAATATGAAATAATCTTTGCTGAAATAACCATTTGGTTCCAAAAGGGTTGATGGGTCTAATCTCCCAAGCTGTCTATGATGGTGGCCACCACGTCTTAGGGTAATTTCTCTCTCTCTCTCTCTCTTCTCCACTCATAAACTCCATTATTTATTTTTTTGCAGAGTGATTCCAAAAACTCTTATGCCTAGAGAGGTAATTCACTGCACTTGTTTCCTCATAATTTCAGTTAAGCTTGGCATACTTGTCAAAAATAAACTAAAAAATAGTTAATCTTGCCATCCAAATTTGGTTATGCTTGTGCTTGATTGGGTTGATAACATATTTTTTTCAGTTTAATGGGCTTTTTCACATTTAAATTGACATGCAAGGTTTTGCTCTTATTGTTTTGGTCTTTGTTTCTACATTTGTGCCACTGTGTTGCAGGTATCAAGCATACAATTACAAGATGACCTTTTGTCAATGTTAGTTTCTGGGCATGAGACCACTGGTTCTGTGTTAACTTGGATAGCATATCTTCTGAGCAAGGTATTACATATAGTACCTTTTATCTTAATGAGTGTACCTTTTATCTTAATGATCTGTGTCTCCATTTTCTGTTGTTTACCATAGTAGATTCTATACTTCTTGAGGATTGGCTTGATGTTGATTCAAGGTCTAATAGTAGTGTGTCAAATGACAAAGAGGAAAGTGGTTTTATTTATTTGAACCGTTATATTGAAATTCATTTATCTTTGCTTGTGACACTACACATTTGGCTTCTTCCTGTTGGTATAAATTATTAACTGTAAACTTATTCTTTTTAAAACACAGGTTGATGTGGGTGTCACATCAGGTTGTAAAATGAGTCTTATCAACAAATTTTATAAAATATTATCCATTTGTATGTATTTTGTGTTCTATTATGTATTTAGTTTTTATGTTCATATCATAATAGAAATGTGATAATAATAAATGTGAATGTAACAATTTGATGCAAAGTTGCCATAAAGAGCTGAGCTAACTATTTGGCATGTTCCTTTCATGTGGGGGCCATATATTGTTCCCACAATTTTCTTATTGGATTACTTGGATCTGAATGGGGTTGGCAACATGGAGAGGTTCTTTCCCAACTGTGCCATCATGTGAGGGAGGCTTTTTCTTCCTAGTTAAACAGTTTAATTGCACAGAGAATTTTCACAGAATGTGACATAAATGTGAGATAAAAGGTAGCTCTCACACCTTTGTTTCACATCTTTGTCACATGTTCTGTGAAATTTTTCTGTATTCTTGACATAACTGTGTCTAATTTTACACAATTCAACTGAAAAAATTCCCTCAACTGCTTTTTAGATTCACATCAACCACTTTGGGACTTGGTACATTTTTAGTTGTGCTATTGAAAGTGAAATTTATCAACAACAAAAAAAAAAGATACTTGTAAATATTGAATGATCTAGGCCCCATGATGCCATGTCTTAACATTTCAAACCCTTCTTTTGTTTTGTTTTGTTTGTTTTATTATATTGACATTATTGTGTTGGTGTAACTACCATTCTCTATCAGGGACACCAGTGTGAGCATTTCATACCCTGGTGTCAATGGCGTTGGTACCAGCACCGGCGGAAGCGGTTCTGATGGGGGGTCCGATAGCAGCAGTGGCAATGGCGGGAACTTTTTTGGGATGATATTTGGGAGCAGCGCGCCACCACCACCTTCATCATCTACAACCACTACCATCCTCTTGTCTCTTTCAATTATTTTAAGTTTATACATTACCACCAACTATGGTACTCTATTATCATTATCATTGTTATCATCATTGTTATCATCTCACAGATTCATTCAATAAGAATTTACTGATGAAATGGAAAGGAGGCATTTCTAGTTAATTTCTGAATTTCTTGTTCCTGATGCTTTAATTCTATATCTTGTTTCTCTTTTAATCTTTATATGGTAATTTTTTTGATTTGTTTGGTTTTCTTCTCAGGGGTATGTTTTAAAATCAGAAAATATGAAGAAGTTTTTTGACTATATACAACTTCCAAATTTCAATGTTGCTGCCAATGCTATAGAAACCTTTAAGGTATTTTCTTCCTTTTTTTGCCTTTTTTCTTTTTCCATTTTTTTGGTAGCGGTATTGCCATATTGTTGTAATTGTCTTAAGTGTTGGTGTATGTGTATGCAAATATCATGTTGTTCTTTGATTGCAACATGCCTACAAACTCTTTAATGGTGTGTATGTCTGATTTTTTTTGAAGAAAGTGATATGTGGTTAGGACTCAAAAACACTTTTAAGTGAATGGAAATGAAAATGCATATTAATTCTTGGTTTTTTACATAGACTAGAATTATTTCAGACTTTTGTTAAATATAGTAAACAATAAATTGTCTTTTATAGTTCATCTAATGACTTGTGAGTTTTTTTTTTTTTTTAATCGAACGAATTTAATCCAATATTTGTTTAATGAAGTGGTTAGGCTGAACCTACTTACGTTTCCTTAGGGAAGATGGGGGCATGAAGTGTTGGTTTTAGTCAAAACTTGTATTCCTTTCTGGGATCCTTCACTTGGAAGGTGGCACTTCATAATGTTCTGATGGTTGCCCATTGCCTGAAAAGCTATCATGGTAACTAGCACATATTGTCTGATGAAACTTGTATCCTTCTTGAGATCCTTCATGTACCATAGGCTTGTGTGTTCATTTATCTGTCCTGGGGCTGCTATCCATTTGGTGTTGAAGGCATGCCTAGAAGAGTTCTAGATGCATAGATTATTGTTATTCTTTTTCTATCTAGCTTTATTTGACTATAACTTTTTGAAAATTTTAAAATTTAATAAAAATTCAATTTATTTGGACCTTATTTTGCAAAATATGGTTGAACAGAAGTATACTGTTAAGTGTCATTATCTGTTTAGTAACTTATTGGCAGTGTTGTGTTCTTTTGATATGCAGGAATTGATTGTGATTGATGATCTTCTGTCTGCTTTGGTTGGAATAGAAGGACGATACACTTCAATCAAAAGAGTCTGAGGGAAGGATGCTAATTTTGCCTTCCAGCTTGATGCATCTATGGATTTAGCACTTCAGGTTAGAATGCTTTCTTTGTGGTCTTCAGATCTGGTGGTTTAAGTAATGATTTTTTGTACTTTTTAAAAAAAAATTAATTTTATAGTCAATTAGATATCTGCCCTGAACTTCTTGTACTGGTTCTCTCTCTCAAAATCGAAATCATTTCGAATCGGTGATCTTACATCGGTGATTCATCAGAGCCATTTCGAAGTTCTCTCTCAAAATCGATTCAGATCGGTGAATCGATTCGGATCGGTGAGCTACTCTCTCTCTCTCTCTCTGTTGTACAGGTGCCATAATGTAGCGAGTAGTGACAGCAAACTCCTGCTTAGAGTAGACAATGTGAATGTTGCTCTTGGATTTGAGGAATATAAGATTCTTGTGACAGATGATAACCTTTAATTTGTAGCACCGAATGGCCATTTTATCTAATTTTAAGGGCCATGAATGTTATAAGCTTAAAAGCAATCAAAGACACAAAGATTACTTAACACAACATAATGGAAAGAAGTTAAAACCGAACATCTGATGGATTTTTTTATTTTTTATATCGTCATTGACATCATTTTTGCTACTACATTGAATACTTTTGTTAGATTTACCTTCTCTAAATACGTCTAAACCTTTCAGATGCTGAGGGATTGATTTTTTGTTTTTCCTTATTGAATTATAAGTTTGTCTCTCTATTGAGAACTACTGTTTTTAGTATAAATTTCTGCTACTTGGCTGAACCTTTGCTAAATACATTAGTGTTGTTGTTGTTCCTATTTTAGCATTTTAGCCAAATCTGCTAATGCATGAACATCTTTATTATATTCAGAAGTGTGTAGATTTTTTTCCTAATTGATGGTAATTGTTTAGTAATCAAGTAACATGAAGTTCATATAGGAGATAGAATTTTCTTGCAATGAAATTAAGAAAATTAGTGCTTCATTAGGTTAGTTGGAATAACAAAACTTCAGAGTTTAGACACATTAATTATACAAGTGGGACTTGCTTGTGCCACACATATTCTTTTCCCCCCTTCCATTGTGGCTTTGTGAGAAGAAATCTGAGATAGTAATGATGTTTAGTATGGTTTGTGGTCAAACAGAACTGGACAGTGATTACTGAAATTTGAACTCATCGTAGTGCTGTTAATTGTTTTGGTAGCTATCTTTAAGTTCAAGTTCTGGAAGACAAAATGAGAAATGGATTGACCAATGGCCATTCCTAGTAATCTAAAAAATCAGTGAATCAGTTGGTTGTAGTCAAAATTTTCTGCATGATTTTAGAGAGAATCGTTTTGATTTTGCAGAGAAAAGTTTAAAATCATGGAGACCCATTAGATCTGTGCTTGTTTATCATGTCTACGGAAGCATCAACAAAACAAGACTGTGATTCATACACAACTCATACTGTTTGCTAGTTAGTTCAGTCAGTGATTCATACACAACTCATACCGTTTCCTAGCTCATTTCTGTGTTGCAGAGAATTGAATATTTATCATTTTCACATTATGATGTAATTTGATCAAGTTGGAAATTATATTGACTGAATAAAATAATAGGAAGGCTTTTAGCATCCTAACAACAGTTAATCTTGAAATTATTAATTCTCTCTCTCTCTGCCTCTTTGTGTGTTTCTCTCTGTATTGGTTTCATCAGATCAGCCACAAATTTGAAGCATTATTTACAGATTTCAATTTACAGATAATTTAGATTCCATCACTTTTGGCATTGGTCGCACAATCATCTCTGTTTGTTTGCTGAGAAAAACAAAGGAATGAAATCAAAAGGAGGTTGATCTGTTTTGGTTATAATTTGGTTTTCAAGTGCAGTGTACTTTGTTATTATACAAAAAAAAAATTGAGACTTAATTGGTTGACTAGGGAAATAGTTTTCACATTTCAAACCCTGTAGTCCTGTAGAGAATAAAACCGGCCCTTGAAATTGCCTTGGAATGCCATAACAATTGAGCCCAGCTAACTCAAGATGATCACAAGTTTCAAAGCTGAAGCAACAGTGATCTTACCTTTAAAAGGATGCAGCCCACTTAAGCCTATCGTTTGTAGAAAATTTAGCTGAAATGTGAATAGCACTTAATTCCTCATTTCCGTAAGCTGAATTGCATTTGCAGATGGCCATCTCGATGTACCATTATCAGTAATAACACTTAACTATTGCAGCACGTGACAAACTGAATCATTGGCTACTTTTCTCCATCTCTCTAGCGGCTGTAGAAGATGCCAGTTATTGAAACCAAAACGGAAATGGAAAGTGGATAATGAGGTCACCCTCATGGTCTTTGTCACGAGCTCTCCTTTAAATTGGTCCACCTAGGCAATGAAACATTCCACATGCGCCATGTCCTTATCTCCTCTCAAAAGAAAGCACCCAAAAATGAGGCCACATGTGCTTGATTAAATTGCTTAGATTGTTGATATTTGACATGATGTGTTCTTTTATTGAAAAATTGAATACAATATAATAATTATAAAATCAAATTTTCATATGAGCAATTCTTGAATCTCTGTACCTTAATTACACTTCTATGCCTTGAAAAAAATAGCAGTTGTGTTATTGTTTTCTACAGAGATTGAATCAACACAAGATTCCTTACCTGCAACAACCAGGGACTAACTTGGTCAATAGTTTCCTTACTTGTAAGTAACACACCAATTTCTTGAAATCACAACATATATTTAACCAAGGTTCTAACAAAAGCACAAAATAATTTATTCTTTCCTGCTTCTATCATCTATCATATTTAAAGTTTCAGGTATATGAAAGTTTGAGTGGGCTCTAATTTTCTTTATGCATTGTGCAGTTATTTATATACATGTCTGTCTATACATGTGTATGTACCTTTATATAATGATGTATCACTGTTGTACTTTCTATAGCTTATATAATGATGTATCACTGTTGTACTTTCTATAGCTTTTAAAGATTGTGCCTAATTACTTGTAACACATAAGTAACATTTTTATATTTGTCTACTGTTGCCCTTCTGACTAGCCATTTCCTTTTTGAAAAATGCCATCATGCTAGAATATTTACTGAAGCAATGGCAAATCCATATTGACCTCATTTTTCTTTTTGAATGATTATGATTGTTTTTTCATATTGCTCCCTGAACTTGATTTCCCCTCTTCTGCTTACAGACCCATGATAAAACTTCCAGCTATTGTTTTCTCATATTGCTCCCTGAATGATTATAAAACTTCCAGCTACATTGGTCTGGTATACTCTTTTGCTTGTTAAATGGGTGCATGCAAAACATGGCCTCCACAAAGCTTAACAGTTGCTTTAATTTCTATGAATATGTAAGCGATGGGGCAGCTATCTCTGGTTGTCGTGTCGCTTTTTTATTTTTATTTTATCATAATCAAACCTCAGCTCCACATATATATATTTGTTGCTGTTCATGGCTCCACCCACAGGCACATCAGAGCTGCTTTGCTTTCTCTCCTGTGCCCCCCCCATCATCAGGTCCCAACTCTTGCCCAAATTTGATGACTTCATGAGGTGCCACCTCAGCAATTGGGACAACACACTCGTTGACAATCAACAAAAAACCAAAGAGGTGTTTGATTTAGTCATTTTATTAGTATGTTTTGAATGAATGTTTAATTTTTTTATAAAAAAACATAAGGAAAAAAAAAAGGGAATCATTATTTTATATAGATGGTTACTTTTTGACTTCGGAGCTAAAATTGCAAGTATTGAATGGGAGTCAATGTCTGGGGAATTCATGCCTGAATTCTTTAAGCTGGTGTTGGGAAACCCTTTCTCCGCCTATCAACTTTCCCGGAACAAATTACCACTGCAGTTTCCAAGTAAACAACTTATTTCTCAAGTACATGTTGCTTTTAAGTCAAGTAAACTAATGATATCTAAAGTATCCGATATGTTACAGTTTACTCATCAATTTTTAAAATTCGTGCTTTAGTCTAAATTAATAACGGGAGGAGGGATATCTGGCTCTCGGTTGGTTCATTTCAAAACAAACCAACAACTAACATGAAGGCG